CAAAATGTCCCAGGTGCTAGGTTTGGTCATGAGTGGGTGGGGAGATTCCGGCTTGGGGGATAACTCTTATGGGGGGGGGGCTCAGAAGGCAGCTTTGTGATTGGTCCTGCTCAGGATAATGAGGGGGGTTATTCTGTGCTTGCATTTTGGATGACTGGTCTTGCTGGTGAGTGGGGGAAATACAACTGGCTTTAGTTTGGGAGGGGGGCTGGCTTAGGAAGGTTCTGTCTGATCCTGTTGAAGAGTCTGGGACTAGACTTTGGGGTAGGCTCATTTTGGGGAGCCAGAAGGTGGCCCTGTTGCTTACATTTGGGAGGTTGGCTTTGGCTGGGGGCTGGAACTAGTCATGGTTTGGGGGAACTGCAGTCCTGGAGTGCCAGGGCTGAATATGGGAAGTCCTGTGGGATCCTTAGGGAAGCTGGGTTGTGGGGGATGGGTTTACCCCAGATTGGAGGGCTGGTTTGGAGGGAACTAAACTTGGCTATGGTTGGGAAGTTGTTTAGGGGTTCATCTGGCTATATTGGGAGGTTAGAGCTAGATAAGGGCTTCATTGGATACTCTTGGGAATGGTTTGAGAATGTTGAATTGATCCTTATTGGAGGTGGCTAAGACTGAATCAAAGGGTCAAAGTGTTGTTATTGGGAAGATGGTGCGGGAAGCTGGGGCTAAATTAGAAGTTAGCTAAATTAGTTGGAGGTCTAGTTTTGGAGGGTTGATTTGTCCCTGGGTGGGAGGAGGCTGACTGGCCCAGGAGCTGTGCCTTTGGGGGCTTATGAGGAGTTGAGAAGGGCTGCCCTGAGGACAAGGCAACTAAGAGATTGGGCATTCTGGGGGATGCCCATCCATCCTCCACCCCCTAGGAAAGAGCTTGAGCTGTGCTCCCCCCTCCCCCAACAAAGACCTTATTGCAAAGGCTCTTCCATTCCTTCCTCCCTCCCTACCCCTAAATCTAGCTGCCTAGGCTTTGAATCTGGGACTTTCTGGAGGGGATAGGGGTACTGTGCCATGTTGGGGGAATCAGCTGAGCTCTTCTCCCTGTCCTGCACAGCTGGATGGCTGGATCCATGAGAAAATGCTAATGGCTCGGGATGGCACGCGGGAAGACAGCCACAAGCTGCATAAGAGATGGCTCCGGCACCAGGCATTCATGGCTGAGCTGGCTCAGAATAAGGAGTGGCTGGAGAAGATTGAGAGGGTGAGGATGTAGACGGTCCCTCTGCCCGTGCCAGGTGCTGGAGGCCTCCAGGGGACCTACATCTCAGTTCCTGAACCCTCCACTGCCGCCCTGCCATTCCCACCCCTCTGAACCCTTTCAGATCATTTCCACATCTGCTTCTAGCTATGGCCGTGAGCTTCAGTTTTGCCATCTGTAAAATGGCTAGCATCTCTTCTGCATGGTGCCCATACCCTCCTGGTTGTTAAATCTTTTACCCCTTCCTGTAACCTCCCCCACCAGGTTTTCTTCCACTCCACTTGGAGCATCTAGGCTGGAAGGTCAAGTAGACAGGCTGGAGCAGTCCTGGGAGACCCAGGGTTAACGTGAACTTTGGATTCCTCCAACCCTGGACTCTGATTGTGTCTATGCCTCTTACCAGTTGTGGGCCTTAGCAAATTGTGCTAACCTCTTTGAGCCGCAGTCTGCTCTGCTTTAAAATGAAGGAAATAGGGGAGCCTGGCTGGCTCAGTCGGAAGAGCATTTGACTCTTGATCTTGGGGTCGTGAGTAGAGATTACTTAAATAAATAAAACTTAAAAAAAAGAAAATTAAATAAGGAAACAATGAACACTGCTACTTCCATGGGCTCTTTTTTTTTTTTTAATGTTTTATTTATTTATTCATGAGAGTCAGAGAAAGAGAGAGGCAGAGGCATAGGGAGAAGCAGGCTCCCCGCCTAGCAGGGAGCCCGATGCGGGACTCGATCCCAGGACCCCGGGATCATGACCTGAGCCTAAAGGCAGACGCTTAACCATCTGAGCCACCCAGGCGCCCCTTCCCTGGGCTCTTAACGCAGTGAAGTCCTTAATACAAGGCCAGACACCTAGGAGCATAATTGCTATGGTATTGTTATTTTTAATATATACTCTACCATATGGAGCTCTAGGCCATCAAAGGAGCTTGACTTCAGTCTTGGAGGAACCCAGCCTCAACTCCCAAAACTGATCCCTACTCTTGTTGAACCCCTAGACCTACAGCCCTCAGTACCCCCACTCTTCTGATGCAAAGGGGACACCCGGGTCAGCCTTAAACCCACTGATGCCCCATAAATGGTGGCACGGGCCAAAGCCACACTGAGTTTAATGGAGGTTCATTCTTTCTGCTTCTTTTGCTCTCCCTCTATCTCTTCTGTCTCCATCTCTCTCTCTCTCTCTCTCTCTCTGTCTCTCTCTCTCTCGTCTGTCTTTCTTTGGTCCTCTTCCCATGTTTCTGACTTTATGGGCATGTCCCTGTGTCCATCACTCTATGTCTGTCTGTCTCTTGCCTCATCTTTCTCCCCATGCATTGCTTCCTTCCATCTCTGGGCCTGTCTCTGTCTCCATGTCTCCCCCAGTGTCCCATTGCCCCCATACTTCTCAGTCCCTCCCCACCACGTGCCCCCTCCTGATCATTTCCTATCTCCCACCTGTCTGGGGCAGGAGGGCCAGCAACTGATGCAGGAGAAGCCAGAGCTGACAGCCTCGGTGCGGAAAAAGCTGGGTGAGATCCGGCAGTGCTGGGCCGAGCTGGAGAGCACCACCCAGGCCAAGGCGCGGCAGCTCTTTGAGGCCAGCAAGGCCGACCAGCTGGTGCAGAGCTTCGCCGAGCTGGACAAGAAACTGCTTCACATGGAAAGCCAGCTGCAAGACGTGGACCCTGGCGGGGACCTGGCCACCGTCAACAGCCAGCTCAAGAAGCTACAGGTATGGCCTGGCTGACCCAGACAGGGCCTCTGCATGCCACCGGGGGGCCTGAGTCGGGGTCAGACGCCATTCAAGGTATTGCACACAGAGGGGATGTCATACAGGGGTTTATTTCAGTTGCGTTACAAGGGCTGAAGAGCAGAAAGGGAGTACCGAGGGAATCCAATTAATAGTAACTCACTGCTTCCGGCAACCCCAAGAGATTGGTCCCATGATTATCCCCCATTTTACCAATGGGGAAGGCGAGGCACCGAAGGTGAAGCACCTGCCCAAGGACACACAGCTCGCCGGCGGCTCCCTTGGGACGCGGGGAGGGCTCGGGGAGCAGACGCAGCGCCTGCATTATCTCGGCTCCTAGCTGGCCGCCAGTCAGTGGTCAGGATCTGGTCGTTTGTCATGACCGGCTGAAGGCGCGAAAGCGGGCGTTGCTTTTCACCTCTCGGGATGTAACAGCTCCTGCCTGCGTGTGCCAGGAACAATGCCTGACCACCACGGGAAACTGAGCCTCCAGGAGGTGAACTTACTGGCCCAGGGGAGCCAGTGAAGAGCCTGGATTCAAATCCGGGACGCTTGACTCTTCACCGTTCCTTTTGATACATCTCATTCAGAGTTATGCTGCTAGAGGGGGCTTGGCATAGGATCTGGGGGAAAAAAGAAAAAAAGAAGTTAGCCAATAATAAAAGCATAAAAACGCTGATTAGAATCTATTCATTCATTAATGCAGCACATCTTTACTGAGCACCGACTGTATGCCAGGTGCTCGTCTCGGTGCTGGAAAGTAGCAGTGGGCAAAAGTGCGCCTTCATGGGGCTCACGTTCTGGTCGGGGAGACAGACAAAGGAGCAAAGAGACACACAGATCTGAACCTGATGCTAGTGATGTCATTGCTTTATACAAAGCAGCGGCCCTCACATGGCCTTGGTCTCCAGGACACCCTTCCCCTCTTAGAAATCGTGGAGACCCCCCAAGAGCTTTGGTTCGGGTGCATTATACCTATCGATATTTACTGCACTAAGAAAACAAAGGATTCACGTAAAAACAACGGTAATAAATCAACTTTTTGATATTAACCCCCGAGTGTTCTTTTATGAAGAACAACTCTATTTTCCAAGCCAAAAGAAATATTAGGAGATTGGCACCCTTTCCAGTGCTGCAACTCTTTCGTGTCTGGCTTAACAGAACATTCACACCTTTGCTTCTGCACACGTTCTGTTTTCTGTGGCAAGAGCACGGATCGTATGGTCCCCGACTGAGCCACCCAGGCGCCCTGCATCTTAGTATTTTAATAAAATAGTTGTAACCTTGCAGACCCCTTGGAAAGATGTTGGGGATGTGGTGAGCTCTCAAGAAATGGGGATCTGTGGGGTGCCTGGGTGGCTCCGCCCGTTAAGCGTCTGCCTTCAGCTCAGGTCATGGTCCCAGGATCCAGGGATCGAGCCCCATGTTGGGCTCTCTGCTTAGCAGGAAGTCCGCTTCTCCCTCTCACTCTGCCTGATGCTCCGCCTGCTTGTGTGTTCTCTCTCTCTCTCTCTCTTTCTTCCTCTGTCAAATAAATAAAACCCTGGGGCGCCTGAGTGGCTCAGTCAGTTAGGCGTCTGCCTTCGGCTCAGGTCATGATCCCAGGGTCCTGGGATCGAGCCCCGAATCGGGCTCCCTGCTCTGCGGGAAGCCTGCTTCTCCCTCTGCCTGCTACTCTGCCTATCTGTGCTCTCTCTCTCTCTCTCTCTCTGTCAAATAAATAAATAAAATCTTTAAAAAATAAATTAATTAAATAAGTAAATAAATAAATAAAATCTTGAAAAGTAAACATATTTAAAAAGAAAAGAAATGGGGATCTGTGACTGTCAGGGAGGGCCAGCCAGAAGCAGAAGGCATGCTCCACTGAGGACAGCTTGAGGAAGTTGGTGTAATGGTCCAGTGCTCTGCCATCGCTGTCTTGAAATTCTTAATCAGATCTGAACGCAGGGCTCTGCATTTCCATTGTGTACCGGGCCCCACAAATTATGTAGCTAGTCCTGAGCCGAACCCATCTGGAAGCCAGAAGGCAGGGGAGGCGATTGGGGCGGTCTGTACAGGTCAGCCCCCTGGACCACAGAGCAGGGGAGAGAAGCTTAGACTCTGGGTCAGGAGGGGCAAAAGAAGGCAAAGGAAGGCATCCAGTGCATTTTCCCCTATTACAGCATTGTTAGTGGTCTTACTGTGCTGAGTCACTCGTTGCCAGTAGGACTGTGGTAGACAGTGTGGCACCATGGTCAAGGCCCCGGAGGGGGGAGCCTGGCTGCCTAGGGTCAAGCCCTGGCTCTCTGACTTACCAACGGGGTGACCTAGGAATTAATTCTCGCTTTGTGCCTCAGTTTCTTCTTCTGTAACCTGGGCATAACGAGAGTACTGACCTCATGTGGACGTTGTAAAGATGAAAAGACATAATTCATCTAGTAGTTTCAGACTTGCTGACTCAACAAATCTGAATTTCGGTTTTTTGAATTTTTGGAATTTCAGGTTTTGAACATTTTTATTTTAATGGTCTTCAACGGGAGGGCGTTTATCATCACTCTGCTGTGTTCAAAGTTACTTGGTCATTATTTCCTGACCTTCCTTGTGGTTCTTACTTATGCGAACGTTGTTTCCATTCGGAGCATTTCTCACCCCCTCCCCCCCCACACACACTCCTTTTGCTGCTTAAAAATGTATTTTGGGGGGTGACATATGGAACGTTAACATAGTGCCAAAAGTTAGAATGGTCTTCCGTTCACGTGATCTTGCCAAATAGCTTGCCCGAAGCCTGCTGCCATTTAATGCTCTCTCCCCAGTAGCCGATGAGAGTTCCTGTTTCTGCCCATACTCACCAGCACCTGGTATTGTCAGACTTCTTCGATTTTTTTCCCAGTCTGATGGATGGGTGTTTGCGTTTGTATTTTTTCCTGTGACCAGTGAGCTTGAACATCCCTGTCTTTCTTCTGGCCATTTAGGTTTTGGAGGGAGGATTTGGGGCCTCCTGTTCTTCCCACCCCATGGAAGGAAGCACTGTTCAAGCATTGTTCCTGGGAGAGGCCTAGGCCCAGCAGAGACAAGGGTCTGGCTGGGGGGTCACACAGAGATGGGAGGCAGGGGCGGGCCCCAGCACAGGACTTTGCCCGGCAGAGGGAGCCCGAGGTGGCAGGGAGTGACTCAGTAGGCCACGGCCCCCAGATGGAGCCCAGCTGGGCCTCAGGAGCTGCCGCTGGGGAAGGGAGGGGCTGCCCAAGGCCCCCCCTGTCCCCTGGGGCCGCCTGAGAGCTCAGACGCTGGGCACAGGCAGGAGGGCGTGCGGCTGCCATCCAGCCGGCAAATTTCCTGGCTGCCGCACCCCTCTGGCCCTGGGGCCAGGCAGGGCTGGAACAGGCTGGTTTAGGCAGAGGGGGTGTGGATGTGTGAGCGGTCTGCCCCCTTGGCCTTTCTCTGGGCCTGTCTCTCTGTCCTGCTTCCCGAGATCCTCTGTGTGGAAACTCTGGGAGTTGCTGTCTCCCGTGTCCGTGTCTATATTTCTCTTACTTTCTCACTCTCTTCTCTTTTTGTTTCCATTCTCCATCTCTGCCTCTGTCCCTTGATCCCTGCATCCTCCTACATCCTCCCCAGCATCCCCTGCCCCAGCCGCTGCAGCAGGCTTCCTGGGAGCCCACCTGAGGGGTAGGCCACGTGACCCCGAGTCCTCTCTCAGAGCCTCCTGCCCAACTGGCCTTCCTGGCCCAGGGACCAGATGGTGGCGTTCCAGGCCCGTGCTTGCCAGTCCTCAGGGGCCTGACCAGCTGGTCTGGCTCAGCCACGGGCTCCTGCCTGGGGAGGGTGGGGGTGGCTGGTCTCCTGCCATCTGAGGGGGAATGGCCAGGGGAAAATGCACTGGAGACTTTGCAGCTGCTAGGCTGGGTCCCTGGGGACTCCTTACCACCCACTCCACCCCCGCAAACCACCCCCCAACACCAAGCAAGGCTCTTTCTCTGGCCAAGGAAACACCCCCCCCCCATTCTTTGTGTTATATGTCTTCCTGAGCTCAGCACGGCCTAGAGGGAGAGTTGGGGTACAGGAGTGGCACGGCCGGGGTTTGAAGCCCCATTCCACTATTGCGTGACTCAGGGCAAGTGACCCCACCTTTCTGAGCCTCCATTCTAGAGAAGCAGAGTGACTGAGAGCCGCTGGGATTTTGTGGTCACATGGCCCCGGGGTTCAAATTCCAGCTCTGGCAGTCTTTACTCTGGACCAGGGACTGCTCCTCAAGTCTCAGTTTCCCCGACTGGAAAATGGGCAGGTAGCAAGGTGGATCCAAGTAGGGATGAGAATGATCTGGGAGTCAGGGCTTGTGTGTTACTACCTACCACGTGGTTAGTGCCTGAGGGTTTTTCTCAAGTAGGCTCTTCTGGTTTTGATTTTTTTTTTTTTTTTTTACATTTAATGTCCTTTTTAAAATTAAGATTTAGGGGCGCCTGGGTGGCTCAGTTGGTTAAGCGACTGCTTTCGGCTCAGGTCATGATCCTGGAGTC